GATTCAAGGCCCTCCAGGGATCTGTCAGATGATGGGCTGAGGAGATCTTAGCTAGGAGAGCTCTCTGTCTGGATGCTACGTCAGTTTTGGGGGGATTGGACCTATCCATCTGGGGGTCTTCCACCAACTTCCAGTCCCCTCCAATGATTATTATCTCACTGTCTTGTTGCTCCATAAAGCGTTCTTTGTTATGAGAAGCTTGCTGTTAATGGGAGGGTGGATTGTAAATGTTCAATAAGGATATGTCTTTCCCTGCTATTGCCCCCTTGACCATGATGAATATACGGTCTTGGTGTTTGGTTTGTTTCCATATTCGTTGGGCCCTACCTCCTCCAGATTCTAAAGGCCTGATGCATGGCCTCAGGGGGTTGGGGTGATACCCCTGGATTCCAGGCTTCTGAGAGACATCGGGAGATGCTTGCTGATATAGAGTAGAGTGCCATTGGTCGAGTTTCCCTCAACTCCCTCTGGTACTCTGTAGATCTTGGTCTGGTGTTCTCTATTTTTCGGCTTCAGTTTATTCAGAGCCTCTTCTGTATCTCGGATCTGGTCTCCCCATCTGGTGTCAGCTAGTTCCAGCTTGTCCATGATGTTCTGGAGGGTCATTGTGATGGCCTCCTACTTTTGCAGTCGTACGCTGATCACGTCCATCTTATCATTTCGGGCACACAGTAAGATAGTATTTTCCTCCCCTCTGGCTCCAATCTTGTCAAATTTGCAGTGCAGGTCTTGGAGGAGTTGGAATGAGTCATCATTTAGGTTTTCAGGTTCTGTACATTGAAGGAGAAGACAAGGGGGAAGAGGCCTTGGCCTTCTTTCCAATCGTTATTTCTGCCATTACTCATTAGGCTGGCTTTTTCTAGGATCACCAGGCCAGCTTTTCCTAGATTAGGCCTCGGCTCCCTAGTTTGCTTGTCAGCTCTTAAGGGCTCAAAATGCCTCGGAGGTCAGGGTTTTTCATAAAAAAACTGGTCTTGGGGGTGGGCTGAGGGAGTTGAGCAAGGATCACAAAATAATAAAAGGGTCTAAACACTCAAATGAGCGATGGGTTGGGAGGAGGTCACACTTGCAGGGTGTTTGCAATGGTAAGACATCACCAGAAGTCTTTAGCAGTGTCCCTTTAAATGCAACCATATAATCTCATCTTGTTGCATTTTTATAATTTTATTCCAGTCCACTTGTTTAAAGCACCATCTCATTGCTTCATAATCCGCCTGTCTGAAATTGTAGATTTTTTACTTCTTAACTTTCCTGATGGACTTTGACGTTTCTTTGAAATGAAATCACGTTGTCACAATTTCTGCGTGTTTTTTCACTTGTGTCCTCATTACTCCGCCAGGGTTGTTTGAGAGGATTTGGTCAAGACAATCCTTCTTTCTTGTTGGTGCATTCACAAGTTGGCTAAGAAAGCAGTCATTGACCATATTTATCTGAATTTCAGCTGCTGATTTACAAAATATGTTTTGCCAATTATATTAGGAGTAAAATAATCACTCCAATCACGACAGAATCAGAATATGTATTTGTACTGGAGGAATCCGATGATCTTTGAAGCTATTTTTTCAAATATGTCCAGTAAGAGCAGGTCAGAACGTTACAACAACAAACAATACAAAACACAATAGTAGTGCAAGTATGTGAAAGGTAAGTAAATCACTTAAAATATACATATAAACTAAACTATTTTTGTATCGTACCAGGTAAAGCCCATTGAGGTATTCACTTATTTTTCAGAAGCATCCTGGCCACAAATGATAGTGGCTTATGTGGAAATGCATAGGAGCATCATTATCTAAATAATCTCAATGTTGTTTATAAATGTGGAAGGAAAAAAATCGATGCCACCACGGGGAGAACGTACAAAATCCAAATATGTGTCAAATACAGTGTCTCCCTTCAGGCATATTGATCGACCTTGGAGGTCCAGGACCAATTCAAATAATTGGTGTTGGTTGTGAGTGGGAATCGAACTCAGGTCACCAGGTTGGTAGTGCAGCAAGCTACACATTCCGCTGCCACTCCTCACACACACACATGGGGGCACGTGCACACACACTCACTTTCACACACATGCACACAATACTCACTTTCACACACACCCTCACTTTCACACACACGTGCGTGTGGGCGCACACGCGCACAAACACTCACTCCCAGCGCGAGGCTGACTCATTACATTTCACAGAGGATCGCACCGCTGAACAAAATAGTTCCGCAGTTCAGTTTGCAAGTGCGAGTTCAGGACTGCCTGTATTAGGTAATTATTCAGACACAAATAAAAAAAGCTGGTCATGATAAAACAAAAAGTTATTCTCATCAGGCAAGTGCAGTCTCTACCTCTTAGTGTCCCTAGGTAACTATATTTATTTATTGGTTGAAAGCTTTCGTGACTGCAGTGATTCATATTATTGGATCTTTCGGTAAAGTCACATTGAAGGGAAACAAAATAATAAAAAATATATAAAACAATAAAATTCTCACGACGTTGCGACTGCAACACAAGCAATCATCATCAGGTGTGAAAACCAACGGCAAGAACATTTGAAAGAAGTGGCGGTTCGTATTTATTTATTTATTTTTAAACGTTAGCTCCACGGATAGCAATTTGACTGTTTAGATGGACGAGTCCATCTATGTTTGGAAAAGAGGAGGGGGGAGACGAAAAATTAATGTATGCTGTCTGAAAGCCACCGTAAGCGTGAGCAATCAATTAAGACCCGAAATGGTTTATCAAATCCTTCCAATGATTGTTAAGCCAGAATCCATCTTCTCGGTTGAAATTGTCTCTGTGTTTGTATATGTGGATAGCCTCATGAACGAATCTCTCATGGTAGCCAGATGGCTTGCAAAGAACCTCTGTCTTGGAGAAGTCAATGTCATGTGAGTCTACTGAATTATAACAGTGATCTGCCACGGTCGAGGTGTTGGTCTTACCGTGTTTAAGGTCTGCTTTGTGTTCACGAATGCGGTTCGAGACATGTCGTTTGGTTTCTCCAATGCAACTACTACCACAGAGGCAACTTAGTTTGTAGACACCAGGGTACTGTATGTCCGGAATCACATCTTTTACAGGCGGAACCAGATCACGGATTTTTGGTAATGTAGTAATAGTAATAGGTTTTACCCTTATTACTGGCACAAAAACTGACACCTTTATTCAAGGCATCATGTTTGCAATGACCACAACACAAGCAGTCAAAATGCAAACAAAAGAGACAACTCTGATAATAATATGCACTGTCCTTGAATATGATTGGTCCACACCCGAGACAGCTTTTCTTAGAGCCTAGTCTCCACTGGTGTTGGACCAGAAGACGCCAAAAGGCGTACAACTCAAAACAGCGCACTATCAGAGTATTGAGGGCTCGGGGTGAGCATTCACATTATGAGACCTCCTTTATGTAATGTGTTGAAACGGACCTGGATCTTGTGTTTATTCAAGATTTTGGAGATCTTTTTTGTGATCCCCGCAATATAGGGTAAAGTGATGGTTTTGAAAGGCTCCTCAAGAGGGTCCTTCTTCATGGTTTGAGTGATAGCTTTGCGGATTGTATAGTCGGAGTAACCATTAGCCTTAAGAGCTTGGTGTACGTGCTTGAGTTCACTGCCTATGTGTTCCTGGTCGGATATGCATTGGGCTCTATGGTGCAGAGTCTTGATGAGATAATTCTTCTGTGATGGATGGTGGTGGGAATCCGGTTACAGATAAGCATCCGCACGGGTAGCTTTCCTGTAGAAAGAGTGGCTCATTGAACCATCAGGTCTCTCTTTTATTAGGACATCCAAAAAAGGTAGCTTGCCATCTTTTTCGACTTCCATGGTAAATCTGAAGGCTGGGTGTATGGAATTGATGTGGTCGAAGAATTGGTCTAGAGCAGGCCGGCCATGTGGCCAGATGACAAACGTGTCATCCACGTACCTCTTCCATAAGGTTGGGTGCAGAGTGGCAGTCTGGATGGCGTCAGTCTCAAATTTCTCCATGAAAATGTTGGCTACAACCGGAGATAGGGGGGAGCCCATTGGGGTGCCCTCAGTTTGTTTGTAGAAAGTTCCATTCCAAGTGAAGTATGTATTGTTTAAGCAGTATCTCACCAGGGGGGGTACCTCAGTGTTTATTCCTTGATGAACCAAGTCTTCATTGATTGCGATGGTGTCAGGTACAGGAACTTTGGTGAATAAGGAAACTACATCAAAACTGACAAGCAGGTCGTCTGGGGACAGGGAAATACCCTTGATTGTCGATACCAGGTGAGTAGAATTTTGTACCGCAGAGGTGGTTTTTCCAGTGAAAGGCCACAGGAAAGAGGATAATTTTATTGTTTTATATATATTTTATTATTTTATTGTTTCCCTTCAACGTGTCTCTAACTATATTTATGTTTTAAGAAGAAGGCCCATTGCCCAAAACGTCACCTATTCTATTTATTTCCTTTTTAAGACCACTGTTTCTGACGAATGTAATTTTGTTTATGCATTACTGCCAGTGGTTTCTTTGTGGTTCCTACTCCCAGGTGGCCTATAGATTTTTATTGGTGATCTGTGACTGGTTATAATAATAATAATAATAATTCAGGTTTAGTAACTCGCAAGTAATTTGACAAATTTAGCAAATTTTTACTGATACCAGCAAACACACAGCAGACTTTTGATTTAAAGCTTTCGTGATTGCAGGGATTCATATTCTTGGTTCTTTTGGTAAAGTCACGTAGAAGGGAAACAATAAAATAATACAAATTTAAAAAAGAATTTTAATGTTTTATATTTTTATTATGTTATTGTTTCCCTCTACGTGACTTTACCAAAAGAACCAAGAATGCACAGAAGACCGTTTTTCGAATATCGTCAGGGCATCTTCAATATCCACAGTGATTTAGACAGTGCATAGCTTTAATGGCTATCACACCGGGTGGCCAGGGGCTTGAATTGCAGCTTCTGCAACAAGCAGCAAACGTGCTAACATTCGGCCACGTTACTGCCCTGTGTTGTGTTGCTTGACCTAGATCTGGCTGAAATCCTTCAGGCTAAAGGAGCTGAAATTCAAAATGGTAGAGTGGCCCTCATGGTTGATCGAGAGGATGTTCAGCTTGATAAAGACCTTCAGTCTGATGCCGAGGACCTTCAATCTGATGCAGAGGACCTTCAATCTGATGCAGAGGACCTTCACGTGGATGGTGGACAGGACCTTGGGGCAGATGGACTCGACCTTCATTTTGATGGACAGGAGCTTCAGTCTGATGGACAGGACCATTCTGATGGCGAGGGCCTTGGCAAAGAGGGCTCCACTGTTAGATGTGAGGCGTGGGATTCATGTGGAGCCCGGGCAGCCCTGGGGAGCTGGGCAGAGGTGGAGGTGGAGCTGGAGGACTCGAGTGACGGTGAGTAGGGGTGGTGGAAGCGAGAATTGTGTGTGTGTGATGTGACCACACCTGGCTGCGGCTTAGACAAATGCGGGTTTTCCTCTTAGCGATGTGTGCGCAGTTGAGTTTCATATCCATATGTGAGTAGGAATAAGCCTGGCGTTAAACTATTGATTACGATGTATTGAAGAGGCAGCCCATTGGCTCAGAGGTCGGAGTGCTGAAGAAGCACTGCTGAGACCCTGGGATGGAATCTAGGGCAGCTGCCTGTGATTAATCGGGGTTCTCAAGTGTTATGAATTGATGGTCTCAGCCCAGTCACAAATGACTGCACGTAAAAATATCACATCACGTTCAATCTCGTGCTGCGAGGTTAAGCCAGGGTTGTTGTAAAAGATACACATGGGCAAATTTATCATGGAGATTGAATGGCACAAGGGGCTCAGTGGGCTGTGTTAGTCGACATGTGCCCAGCACATTGACCACTGGCTCCGAATTGACTCAATCGGGGTTGTTGTTACCCTTATGCTGGCCGAGTGCTAATCCAGATAATTGTTATTGATATGCACGACCTTATAAATAGGTAATACCACATGGCAACATTAATTGTTCGATTAAAATCAATTATTTATGTTCATGAAACATGGAATATTCATTTCTTCTGGAAAAATCCGATGAGCTATAAAGCATGCATTGTTTAACACATGCCATAATTGATCATTTACTATTTATGCAATTTATTTATTTATATTATAATTTTATATTTTGGATGACAGTATGACAAAATATAACAAATGAGACGTAAAAATAGAAAATCCAACAAGACAGAGATGATTGATTCTTGAATTGAATTGAGACCGACTGGACCTTGATGATTCATCATATCACTGAGGGTGAATTGGCATAAATTACTGCCTTTTGTCACCACATAATAATGTATTTTAGGGTCCTTAAACTCTTATAAACTTTTGCAAAAATGTGGGCTAAGTTTTTCCCACCTGCCTGCTCTCGTATATAACGGTTGATTAAATTGTGGATTTAGTGTGTGCAGGATCTATGTGGATTGTTATAGTTGAAGGAAGCTTGAGGAAACCATCATCCAGCAGTGGGTTGACCATGACTGATGATGATAAGATTCTCAGGGAAAGAACTCTCTCAATATTGGATGGAGTGTTGATTAATGGTGCGCAGTACCGTTCTGCACTAAACATTCATGACTGCTTGTAGCATAGATACGACGGAGACACTGCACTCAGAGCTGCCAGACTCAAAACTGAATTTTCAAGATCACATTGATTATATTGGTAAAAAGACAAAATAAAAATGGTTTTCTGTATCAACACAAGCACTGCTTCCCCCCTATGTTCCGTTTGGAATTGATAAAAGCTACCATACTGCCTCTACTTGATTACTGTGACATCGTATATAAATCAGCCCCCAGTACTATACTGAAGAAGCTTGATTCAATTTATCACTTGGCCTTAAGATTTGCATTGAACTGCCCATATAGGACCCCCACCACCGTGATCTCTACATTGGGTCTAACTTACATTTTCTTAATGATCGACGGCTTGTGCATCAGATTTTATTTATCCACGATGTACTTACAAAAAAATCAGCAGACTACCTGCTGGATCTCCTCACTGTTGCGAAGAACAAACGTGACCTAAGGTCTTCACTCATTTACTAGCTTCACATTCCTTATTGCCGTACAGATATTGGAGGAAGGGTCTTTTCTATTGATGCACCCAGGGTCTGGAATGCTATCGCCAATAAACTGCAACTTGGATCACTGTCTGTGAGATCTTCACTCAAAACTGCTCTAGAGGAGGTGTACACCCCTAGCTGCCACTGATATTCAGAATGGCCTGAAATCAAATGTATCGTTCTGGATGACCGCTGCAAAGTATGATCTTGAGTTTTGATTATAGTGTGCTGATCTTTAAAGGTGTATTGAAAAATCTTGATACTGATATTCCTGCTGTTATGGAGTGACTCATGCAGCCAGCTATGGCTGCAAAGTTTGGTCGTACATGTTATGTATATCGTTTATTGTTAAATTTGAATCACAGTTCCTATGATCACTGTTACATTGTTTTTATAGCTTTATTTTGGTGATTTTGAAAACGTTTTGGTTGAGCCATGTTTGTTTGTTATAGTACAGAGTTAGCCTGATAACTTTAATCTAAATTGTCTTATGGTTGTTATTGTTTGACTTGCATCCCACTGGGATTTTTGCACACAGTGTTCAAATATGGTGTTTTTTGTGGAAGACTTTGCTGTTTTTTCCTGGATTTTCCTGTTGCATGTAGTCACTTTAATATGTTTCTTGTTCTTGTGTTTTTTTGTTGCGGTTGCACCCGAGTCAAGAGCCGCATGGCTCACAGGGTTATACCTAATAAATGAAACTGAAAACTGAAGCTATGAATGCAGCTCCACACTCGGTGCTTACAGATTCACAAGTAGTTGAGAATTTTTCGATTTAAAGCTTTCGTGACTGCAATGATTCATCTTCTTTGGTTCTTTCGGTAAAGTCACGTAGAATGAGAATAAAATAATAAATTGATAAAATAAAATAACACAATAATATTCTCACGACGTTTCGGCCACAACACAAGCGGCCTTCATCAGGTGAAGGGACGAGACTGTCTGGTAGGACAGCGCTGTGAGGGAGCTGCAAACAGCAATGCACTCCAGCGCTGTCCTACCAGACAGTCTCGTCCCTTGACCTGATGAAGGCCGCTTGTGTTGTGGCCAAAACGTCATGAGAATATTATTGTGTTATTTTATTTAATCAATTTATTATTTTATTCTCATTCTACGTGGTGACCTTACCGAAAGAACCAAAGAAGTAGTTGAGTAGACGAGTAGCATGCTAGCGAGTGGCTTGAGTCAATAAGTCACAGATACTTACATGCTAACTCGCTGCATCACTAAGCTACTAAGTCAATGGCAACGCCGCTGAGTTAATAAACCACCGAACCACTCGGCTGCTGGGTTACTCAGCAATTGAGCCGCTGAGATGCTGATGTTTCTTCCCTCCAGCAGGTAGCAGCATTGTGGAGACCGCTGCATTGTTCCACTGTGAGGGAGCTGCAAACAGCAATGCACAGCAGAGCGAGACGCAGCAGACAGTGATCCTGGAGAGCAATGTTGAGCCCCCGTGTGGAAAGGCTGCAGCGGTGGCAGTGATGGAGGAAGCGGAGGGGGAGAAGCCGCACGTGTGCGGAGCCTGTGGGAAGTCATTCGCAGTTCTCTCCAACCTCCAGATGCACCTTGCAATGCACACGGGGGAGCGGCCGCATGCATGCGCCGAGTGCAGGGAGGCATTTGCATGCGCCGAGCTGCTGGAGCGGCACCGGCGCCTGCACGCCACTTGGGCAAAGTCCTACATGTGTTCGGAGTGCGGAAAGGCATTCCGACAGCTGGGAAACCTGAAGAACCACGAGCGCACGCACACGGGCGAACGCCCACACGCCTGTCCCCAGTGCGGAAAGGCATTTTCCGACCTCTCGAGCCTCCAGCAGCACCGGCGCATCCACACGGGCGAGCGTCCGCACCGCTGTTCGGAGTGCGGGAGGGCGTTCAAGCAGTCGGGCAGCCTCCAGCGGCACCAGCGCACGCACACGGGCGAGCGGCCCCACCGCTGCTCGCTGTGCGGCAAGGCCTTCGCCCTGGCCCACACCCTGCAGCAACACCGCAAGGTGCACACGGGCGAGAAGCCGCACGCGTGCCCCGAGTGCGGCAAGGCCTTCGCGCAGGCTGGGAACCTGCAGCAGCACCTGAGGACGCACGCACGCAGGAAGCCCTTTAAGTGCTTCGAGTGCGGCAAGGCCTTCACGCAGCCCCGGGGTCTCAAGAAGCACGAGAGGGTACATGCCGCAGGAGCTGCAGGTGAGGGAGCCTTGGCTGGGCCACAAACACATGCAGATTTGGGTTTTGGGTGTCTTCATGCCCTGAGCAGTACCACCATACTGTAGGTGTTTTAGAAGGTGCTCCTCTCTGTTTTTCTACCTGGTTGAGGTTTACCGACCAGAAACATGGTCAATATTTTTTTTGCTCGAGATTTAGTTAGTGTGTCATCTCATGACAGCTATACTTGCGATGCTGGTACCCGAATAAAATGTTTTTCTGCAGGCTGGATGCCTGATAGTACATATACCCAAACCACAGTACAGCAAGTCCTCTTCATGTTGGGGATGTGTCTCTGAAAAAAGCAATGTTAGGCGAAACAACGAAAATCTAACAACGTAAAATCAAAACATTTATTTACCTTTGACTTATTTTTACCATAATATAAATTCATCATAAATTCGAGGAGGTATTTTTTTGGTAAAAATTTGAAGACAAAATATATATGTACTAAAACAGATGAAAAAATACTCACAATAAGATTATTTTACAAGTTGAAATATATAATACAAGTTAATACAGAGTACTCACCAGAGATGGCAGTGGAGATTGTATGTTTACAATATGGCAATATTGTAAACATCCAGCATGGGCACCACGGTGCTATACATTTCCACGTGACAAGTCACTTTGTTGAGCTATCATTTGTGGCCAGGTCGCCTGTGAAAAAGAGCTGTATAGCTCAGTTGGCCTTACCTGGTAAAATAAAATATTGTTGTAATAGTTTAATTTGCAGTACCTATTATTCGCTGCTCACAGTTAACTACCATCGACGTATGGTGACTTGTGTAGGCATGTGTGAGGATTGCTCATTTTTTATATGGGAGAGTGAGGAGTTCGGATCCATTTTCTCTTCCATGCAATTCCCTCAATATTTGTGTAGGACACCAATGTGGATTTTTAAACGTGCTTTAAAGGCAACCGAAAGGAGTACAATAACTCGATCCAAAATGCAATGAATCTTAACAAGATTTGGAATTTATTAACTATGCATCGATTCGTTATGCACTATTGACGCACTGTGCACAAGGATGCGAACCAACTGCAGCGGATGATATAATCATTTCATGACAATGTACAGTGAGGGAAAAAAAGTATTTGATTTTGATCCCCTGCTGATTTTGCACATTTGCCCACTGACGAAGAAATGATCAGTCTATAATTTTAATGGTAGGTTTATTTGAACAGTGAGAGACAGAATAACAACAAGAAAATCCAGAAAAACGCATGTCAAAAATGTTATAAATTGATTGGCATTTTAATGAGGGAAATAAGTATTTGACCCCCTCTCAATCAGAAAGATTTCTGGCTCCCAGGTGTCTTTTATACAGGTAACGAGCTGAGATTAGGAGCACACTCTTAAAGGGAGTGCTCCTAATCTCAGCTTGTTACCTGTATAAAATACACCTACCAACAGAAGCAATCAATCAATCAGATTCCAAACTCTCCACCATGGCCAAGACCAAAGAGCTCTCCAAGGATGTCAGGGACAAGATTGTAGACCTACACAAGGCTGGAATGGGCTACAAGACCATTGCCAAGCAGCTTGGTGAGAAGGTGACAACAGTTGGTGCGATTATTTGCAAATGGAAGAAACACAAAAGAACTGCCAATCTCCCTCGGTTTGGGGCTCCATGCAAGATCTCACCTCGTGGAGTTGCAATGATCATGAGAATGGTGAGGAATCAGCCCAGAACTACACGGGAAGATCTTGTCAATGATCTCAAGGCAGCTGGGACCATAGTCACTAAGAAAACAATTGGTAACACACTACGCCGTGAAGGACTGAAATCCTGCAGCGCCCGCAAGGTCCCCCTGTTCAAGAAAGCCAATATACATGCCCGTCTGAAGTTTGCCAATGAACATCTGAATGATTCAGAGGATAACTGGGTGAAAGTGTTGTGGCCAGATGAGACTAAAATGGAGCTCTTTGGCATCATCTCAACTTGCCGTGTTTGGAGGAGGAGGAATGCTGCCTATGACTCCAAGAACACCATCCCCATCGTCAAACATGGAGGTGGTAACATGCTTTGGGGGTGTTTTTTTGCTAAGGGGACAGGACAACTTCACCGCATCAAAGGGACGATGGACGGGGACATGTACCGTCAAATCTTGGGTGAGAACCTCCTTCCCTCAGCCAGGTCATTGAAAATGGGTCGTGGATGGGTATTCCAGCATGACAATGATCCAAAACACACGGCCAAGGCAACAAAGGAGTGGTTCAAGAAGAAGCACATTAAGGTCCTGGAATGGCCTAGCCAGTCTCCAGACCTTAATCCCATAGAAAATCTGTGGAGGGAGCTGAAGGTTCGAGTTGCCAAACATCAGCCTCGAAACCTTAATGACTTGGAGAAGATCTGCAAAGAGGAGTGGGACAAAATCCCTCCTGAGATGTGTGCTAACCTGGTGGACAATTACAAGAAACGTCTGACCTTTGTGATTGCCAACAAGGGTTTTGCCACCAAGTACTATGCCATGTTTTGCAGAGGGGTCAAATACTTATTTTCCTCATTTAAATGCAAATCAATTTATAACCTTTTTGACATGCGTTTTTCTGGATTTTTACGTTGTTATTCTGTATCTCACTGTTCAAATCAACCTTCCATTAAAGTTATAGACTGATCATTTCTTTGTCAGTGGGCAAATGTACAAAATCAGCAGGGGATCAAATACTTTTTTTCCCTCACTGTACATAGTGAGAGGGAGACACAGAGAGAGAGAGACAGAGAGTCGGAAATAACAGCTGACATAGGCATGTAGGATGGAAACATCACAGTGAGTTAAAATTTTACTTGGTTAATAACGTCCTTCCAATGAATGCTCAGTTTGTATCCATATTCTCGGTTGAAGTTGTCTGTTAATGTATCTGTATGTCTTCATGAACAAATCTCTGATGATAGCCGGTGGGTTTGCATAGTACCTTCATCTTGGAAAATACATTTCATGTGAGCCGACAGCATTAAAGCAATGATCAGCAACGGCAGAGGTATTGGTCCTACTGTGTTTCAGATCTGCCTTGTTTTCGCAAACACGGTCCGAGACATGTCATTTCATTTCCTCAATGTAACTGCTGCCGCAGCCACAACTTCGTTTGTAGACACCATGGTATTTCATGTCAGGAATCACATCCTTCACAGATGGGATCAAATCACAGATTTTGTGTACTGGATCTTGTGTTTGTTTAAGATTTTGGAAATCTTTTTGGTAACCCCTGCTATGTCTGGCAAAGTGATGGTTTTGATTGGATCCTCAGATGGTTGTCTCCCCATAGCTGGGGAGACAGCTTTGCGGATTTGTACAGTCAGAATATCCATTCATCCTGAGGGGTTGGTGTACGTGCTCCAGCTCACTGGCTAGGTTGTGCTGGTCGGAGATGCAACGGGCCCTTTAGTGTAGTGTTTTGATGAGGGAATTCTTCTGGGCTGATGGTGTTGGGAGTCCGTCTTTAGATAGGCATCCGTGTGGGTGGCTTTCCTGTAGACAGTGTCCCAACGAGCCATCAGGTCTCTTCTCGATCAAAACATCCAGGAATGGTAGCTTGCCATATTTTTCCACTTCCATGGTGAGTTTGATAGATGGGTGTATGGAATTGATGTGGTTGAGAAATTGGTTCAGTGCTGGCAGGCCATATGGCCAGATGAGGAACGTGTCATATACGTATCTCTTCCACAAGGAAGGACGTAGGGTGGATGTCTGGATGGCATCTGTCTCAAATTTCTCCATGAAAACATTTGCTACCACTGGTGATAAGGGAGAACCCATTGGGGTACCCTCATTTTGTTTGTAGAATAAAGGGTTGGATTTCGCAGTCACCCCTAAACACATCCCAGTGGATGATATCATTGCCCAGGTTGACGTAGCCCTCAAAGGTTTGGGACACATCCCGGCAGACGTTACAAGATCTGAAATTGCTGCTATCCTCAAAAACGCTAAGAAACCCATTAGCAACATCAGCAAGGACGAGCGTTTTGAACTCGCTCAATTAAAAAAGAGATATGACATTGTCATCCTCTCAGCCGACAAGGGCAATGCCATTGTCATCTTCTATATATATAAAAGTCAAAAATTATTTGTGTGTGGGTTTGTGGCGGGGTTTGTGGGTTTGTGTATTTGCGCGCTTGCAAAGGATTTGGCTCTCCAAGGGTGGGGTTTACATAAAATAAAAATAGCCAGGTACCACGCCGTAAGCCCCGCCGTGAGCAAATGCTATTCCTTTTTCACATCCGTCAACTTTTAATTAGTTTAATTAGCTATTTAGTGCGATTTTAGTGCACTTCCTTTTTGTTTACTTAATTATGACGTGTGCATGACTATACCAACTCATGTGCCTTTGCTGGGGGGGACGGCCCATGCCAAGTCGCACTCCTTCGGTGGGAGTGAGGGGGACATTTTCTTTCGCGTTAAAAATACTAGAAAAATACACTAAACGCTCAGGTAAATTCTTCACTGTGTGATGTCCTCCCCACCCCGATGCGTGCAGTTACTACTATACATTCGGTAGATGTTACCACTATAGGCCGTAGCTATTACTGCAGAGCGGCCGGGGAGATTGTGGTGGGGGGGGGGGGGGTGTCAGGGGTAGCAGCCCAGCCCCAGCCTGCCAAGGTGCCACCTCGGCCGGTTGGACAATCTAGGCGAGGGGCTAGGCCTCACAATGCCACTCTGTCAGGTAAGTATTTTGTGCTATAGAGTCGATAAATACTGCTATAGAGTCAGCATGTACTACTCTAATGATAGCAGGTACCACTACAGTCGGTATGCACTGCTGTAATCATAGCAGGTACCACCACAGTCAGTACGCACTGCTGTTCGATTTATAAGAGTAGTTTTCGAATATCTTTTTGGCCCGGGCAATGCCGGGTATATAAGCTAGTCATGGATAAATCCACAACAAAATTCAGGACCTTATTAATGAATGCAGCTTATACCAAAATCAATAGAGATCCCACCAATCACCTAGCCATGAAAACCAATAATATCAC